TAATGCAGCTCTTCAGCGCTGAACAATCAAGCTTAGCTCTAATGTTGTTGTCTCAGTCCCATCTTTTTAGTCTCAAGACAATAAACTGCGTGCATAATACTACAATCCCCGTAGTCCAGTTTCCTTAAAATAGTGATAATACAAATATATATTTTGTTTAGAAACAAAAATTCCTGCATTATATGTTTACAATACTTTTTGAAGTAAGTACACTACACTGTGACGGAAAGGTGTGTGTAATTTTCTAAAACACTGAATTTAAATGATATATTTTATAGCTGTTGCGCTCTGTTTTGTGCATGTACTCGTGACTCCCATATAATAACCTTGTGAGCCCCAATTTGAGAACGCCTATGTTAGACCTTTCACTTCTAGACTGAAGAGCCCATTATTAAATATTTTTTTCAGGTGTTGGTATTTACAGACTGTAATCGTCACCCCTTAATCTTCTCTTTGTTAATCTAAATATATAGAGTCAAGGAGCTCACTCACTATAAGGCATGTTTTCTAATTCTTTAATCATTCTTGTGGCTATTCTCTGAACCTTCACCAATTTTTCACTATCCTTCTTGAATTGTGGACACCAGAACTGGGCACAGTATTCCAGCAGCGGTCACACCAGTACCAAATACAGAGGTAAAATCTTACTCCTGGGGAGATTCTGCACCACTGCATGCATGCACATTTCATGTGCTGTGCTGTGCCTATTTTTAATTTTTTTTTCCAGAAAATAGCTACTGCTAAAAAGTTGCTGCAGTTCTGCCTTTTGCCTATTAAAGGGCACTGTGGTGCTAGAACACTGCAGCCACACCTGGCAAGCCCGAGCCAGGATAGGTAACTCTGTGCCTTCTTCACAGAGCCGGTCAGGGGATAAGAGGACAGAGATAGCATGGGGGGTCAGACAGGGGCTCCTAAGAGCTAGTGATGGAGGACAGACTGGGGCAGGGGCTGAATGGGAGTGGAGGCGCAAGGCCACATGGGCAGAGAGGGAGAGGGTGCAGAGCTATAGGGGAGAAGAGGGACAGCTGAGTGGGGGCACAGAGATACATGGGGACAGGGGGTGCAGGGACTCATGGAGATAAGGGGAGGGGGCTGGCAGAGGAGATGCAGGGAGACATGAACAGAGGGGAGGGGGTGCAGGGCAACAGGGGGGAAGGAGGATGGCTGAGTGGGGACACAGAGACACATGGGGACAGGGGCAGATGTGCCTGACTGAATGGTAGAGGCTAGGGTCAGCTAGGGTCTACATGGGGACGCTCCCTAACAATCCCTTCCTGCCCCCAACAAAGAACCTGTTCCATACTTTTCCCACGCATACCCAACAACCCTTCAGGTTCATACCTGTGCTCCTTTCCAGCATTACTTCCCTCTCCCTCAGATTCTCTATTACCCCTGAATCCCCCAAGCCTTTGCATTCTGAGGGGTGTGGGAAATACAGTTCTGTACTGTAGCTTAAATGAATTATTACTCAGAGTTCTGTATTATTATTACTCAGAGTCCCCCCTGTTGCCCTGCACCCCTTCCCCTCTGTTCATGTCTCCTCTGCCAGCCCCCTCCCCTTATCGCCATGTGTCCCTGCACCCCCTGTCCCCATGTATCTCTGTGCCCCCACTCAGCTGTCCCTCTTCTCCCCTATAGCTCTGCACCCTCTCCCTCTCTGCCCATGTGGCCTTGCACCTCCACTCCCATTCAGTCCCTGCCCTAGTCTGTCCTCCATCACTAGCTCTTAGGAACCTCTGTCTGATCCCCCATGCTGTCTGTGTCCTCTTATCCCCTGACTGGCTCTGTGAAGAAGGCAGGCTCTTTCTCTTACCTATCCTGCCTGGGACTTGCCAGGTCTAGACTGTTCTCAGTGGTAGCAGATGACAGAACAAGGAGTAATGGCCTCAAGTTGCAGTGGGGGAGGTTTAGGTTGGATATTAGGAAAAACTTTTTCACTAGGAGGGTGGTGAAACACTGGAATGTGTTACCTAGGGAGGTAGTGGAATCTCCTTCCTAAGAAGTTTTTAAGGTCTGGCTTGGCAAAGCCCTGGCTAGGATGATTTAGTTGGGGATTGGTCCTGCTTTGAGCAGGGGGTTGAACTAGATGACCTCCTGAGGTCCCTTCCAACCCTGATATTCTATGATTCTATGATTAAGTAAGGAATGCCTAGTAAGAAATCTATTTGTCAAAAAACTTTTCCTGGATCTTTTTTATTAGCTGTATTGTTAGACTTATTAGCTGACAGTTATGTTGAAATAAATTACCAAAATAATTGAAACTGGTGTGATTATATTGTGTTTATTTTGACAAAATATGCAGAATTTTAAAATATTGTGTGCAGAATTTTAAATTTTTTGGTGCAGAATTTCCCCCAGGAGTTATAATCTCTCTACTCCTACTAGGGATTCCCCTTTTTGCATCCAAGGATGGCAGTAAGCCTTTTGGCAATAACATCACATCAGAGTTCATGGTCAGCTGACTATCCACCACAACCCCCAAATCTCTTTCAGAGTCACTGTTTCCCAGGATTAACTCCCCCATCCGAAAGTATGACCTACATTCTTTGTTCCTAGATGTATATTTTTACATTTAGCCATTTTAAAATGCATATTGTTTGCTTGTGTCCAGCTTGCCAAGTGATCCAGATTACTATGAATGGCCTGTCGTCTTCATTATTTACCACTTCCCCAATTTTTGTGTCCTCTGCAAACTGTATCAATGACTATTTTGTTTTCTTCTGGGTCATTAATAGAAATGTTAAATAGTATAGGGCCAAGAACCAGTTCCTGCAGGATCCCTCTAGAAACATACCCACTTGATGATGATTCCCTGTTTACAATGACATTTTGAGACCGATCAGTTAGCCAGCTTTTAATCCATTTAATGTCTGCCATATTAATATTTTTCTTATTTTTAATCAAAATCATATAGTACCAAATCAAATGCCTTACAGAATTCTAAGACTATTACATCAACACTATTACCTTTATCAACCCAATTTATAATCTTATCACAAAAAGATATCTAGTTAGTTTGACAGGATTTATTTCCCCACAAACCCATTTGATTGGCATTAATTATATTACCCTCTTAATTCTTTATTGATCAAGTCCTGTATCAACTGCTCCATTATCTTGCCCAGGATCAGTTTCAGACTGACAGGTCCCTAATTACCCGGGTCATCTCACTTACACTTTTAAATACTGGCACATTAGTTTTCTTCCAGTCTTCTGGAACTTCCCCAGTGTCCCAAGACTTATTGAAAATCAACATGAACAGTCCAGTGAACTTCTCAGCCAGCTCTTTTAAGTCTTAGATACAAGTTATCTAGACCTGCAGATTTAAAAATGTCTAACTTTTTAGTAGCTACTAGTTAGTGTTCTTTTGAGATACTAATGCAGTGGTTCTCAATTCATTTATACAATGTGTTACCTGGGACATAGGGACCGGGTGGCAGGACAGTGGCAGCCCGGACCCCAGCCACTCACAGGGCGGGCCAGCTGCCTGCCTTGGACCCCTGCCATGAGGGCAGGGCAGCCTTTGGGACGCAGCTGAGCTGGGCCACAGCTGTGTGCTAACTGGGCTGCAGGTTGAGAACCACTGTACTAATGGAATGGAAAGTGTTATCTCATATGACTACATATGTTTTTCCCAACTATAGAACAGAAATATTATGGAATACAATTATTGTTGATAATTCTACCATTTCCATCTAGTAATGGACCAATACTGTTGTTCGGAGTCTTTGTTCCCAATAGACTTTAAAAACTCCTTATCGTCCTTAACTCTGCTGGCCATAGATATCTCCTTATGTCCCTTTGCTTTCCTTGTCAATTTTTCTAGTTCCTAGTTTCTGATTTATATTGATTACTATCAACTTCCCCTTCCTTCCACTTGTATATTCTTATATATAAAATATTTTTTTTACAGCAGCCTTCACTCCCCTGCTACACCAGATTTTTTTTTAACCAGTATGGCCTTCTTCCTCAATTGTAGCTAGTAAAGTATTCTTAACCAATCATCATTCACTTTTTTCTGATTAAATTCTTCCTCCTAGATAATCTGGCTCATAACTGTTTTCAGCATTGTGAAATTAGTCCTTCCCAAGCATCAAGTGTATATGCCACTACTGTGGACTTCATTCTGTTTAAAACTTAAACTGCTGTACATTTTGGTTCTTTGAAGTTTTTCTTTTTCCAGAAAAAAAGTTGTTTTTTTAACCTAGAAATATAAGGAATGTTAACTTTTGTCTTCCCTTCTTGGGGACATCTTGTGTGACTCAAATGTGGTTTAGCAGCTCAGCCTTTCATTAGGTTATAAAGTGTTTGGGCCAAGGATCATCTGTTTGGTATCAAGGTTTACAGTAGCCGACTGGGATACTACCCTCAGACTACTAATCATGAAGTGTTAAACTCTTAACAAAACCAGAATTTCAAGAGTTAGAGTCACAGGAACAAACAGAAAAAAGTTTTAAACAGTCCTAGTGCCAATCTCTTCCTTTCTCTATGGCTGAGGTTTCAGTTCTATGGACTCTGATGTCACAAACCCCTTGAGACGGGCTGCCAGGGACCTCAACAGCAGCAGGTCTTGGGGAGGGAAACTACCCTTAGAAGACAACCACTTTCCCTGCCCAGGCTGCTTCACCCATCGGCCTAACCCAGGTCGGTCGCCTGTGTTGCTTGTCTTTACAACTGACTCCCAGGTAGTCTGTCTCCCCCGGCCCTGCAGGGAGTGAAGGGTCTTGCGTGGTCCTACCCCATTAATGAGGGGGCCTGTCCCCCTGCCTGCCCCTCAGTGAATGAGAAGGCCCGTAGCTAGCCCCCGACCCCACACCACGGGGCCTCTGTCCCAGCGACTGAGGGTGAATGGCCCTCTCCTCACGCTGAGGCGCGGATACAGCCTGTCCCGCCCTGAAACGGGAATCTCTCGGACACCTGCCTCTCAGCATCCCTCTCGGCCCGTTTGAGCTCTCCCGCACTCTCGTGCCCGCGCTCCCAGGGCCCGCGCCGCGCGCCCCCTGCCTCGGGCGGCGCTGTGCCCGCGCCCCTGCGCGATGCAGTGTGGGAATGGCTGTGGCGCTGGGGTTGGCTGAAAGAGGCGGCCAGTCGAGGTTTAATGTCCGCCATGTTGGCCGTGGCGTATTGAGCAGAGCCGGAGCGGCAGAGAAGAGAAGCCAGCGCCTAGCCCAGCCGCGCCAGCCGGCGCCGCCGGGCTCCGCGTCGGAGTGCGCCCCGCCCCGCTGGGGGAGCCCCGGTCCCTCCATGAGAGCGCTCGGCGGGGTCCGGCTCTCAGCTCGGAGCGCTCTCACTGCCGCCCCCCCCTCCCCAGTCGGAGCCGCCATCGCTGCCTAACATGAGCAAACTGTCGTTCCGGGCCCGGGCGCTGGACGCGTCCAAGCCACTGCCCGTCTTCCGCTGCGAGGATCTGCCCGACCTGGCCGAATATGCCTCCATCAACCGGGCTGTGCCGCAGATGCCCACGGGCATGGAGAAGGAAGAGGAGTCGGTACGTGAGACCCCCCCCCGCGGCCGGGTTCCTCCATCCCCCCGCACCCGACCCGGGGCCCCCACCTTCGCCTCTGCGCAAGCACAAAATGGCCGCCATCTTCTCCCCGCTCTCCCCGCCCGCGGGGATAGGGGACTGGAGAGGGAGGGTGCCGAGACCAAATCATCCCCCTCGTCCCCTACCAAGTATTTCCCGTGGACCCCGCCACCCCGAACCCGGCCGCCGCGGCGGCTGGCAGGGCCTTTCCCAGGCCTCGAAAGGCACAAAGGGGGTCACGTGACGCAGCGGGCGGCCGCCATTTTGTTGTCTCTGGTTCTTGGGCTGGGCCTTGTGCGGCAGCGCGCGCTGGTGCCTGGGGAGGCTGCAGCGCTCTCCCGCTGCCACACGGTGGCGGTGTCGAGTTATATGCTGCGGTAGGGGGAGCGCGGCATAGGCTATGGGTGTTGTGAGGAAGCTGTGGCTAATGCACATGGTGGGTCTGTTCTCCTGCATGTGCGGGCCACGGCTGAGATCATGGCAGAGCAGCCCACCTAGGACTTCTGTGCGGCTTGACTGTACCTATGGGCTCAGGAGCGTGATCAGCGCTGTGGATCCACAGTGAAGGTTGCAGCCAGGCTTATACCTCTGTCCATGGGCTGTTGAGTCACTGGGGGGGACGACACGTGCTGTTACATATGCCCGCTTTTAACTATAAACTAGACATAAATTGACTTCGTTGTACCTTTAATTCCTGAAAATGCTATGAGCTCATTTTAGGGCAGCGGGAAAATAAGCATAAGATGGCAAGGTAGTGAGATTTGGGGGTTATAAGAAGTGTGCTCCTTGCTAATAGGATCTTTGTTGTAAGAAGGGTTTTCAGTCTAATGACGACTTCCCCTTAATAAGTTATGTAAATATAAGAATTTAAACTTTTTGTCAGGCTTATGTCAATACTTGCACATGATGTGTAATCACAGAAATACCTTCAGGCACATGGTGATCAGGAATAGTGCATACACGAATCAGATAAAGGAATAACGGTTGTTACAATTCAGACACACTGGCTGCTATTTTTCTACAAAATTGTTAAAAGGTAATCTGAGTTTGGAAGTTTAAATCTCCACCACTTTCTGCTTCTTTCTGCTGTTTTACTGAAGATTTAAATTTTCATTGGAAGACCGTCCCTTCAAGCCCCTTTGCTTAAAGGATTGTCAACTTAAAAACAATTTGAATTTTTTTTTACCTGCCATAGCAATACTGTACCTGAAGAGACTGTGGGAAGGTAGTCTCTTTTTCAGTTTTAGTTTGTGCACATGACAGCTCTTGTCACACTCGTTGTTTTCCTAGCATAGTCAGTTCTTCTCTTTTCTATTGCTGTACAAAACCTCTATAGAAACAGGGAACATGTTTAAAAATGTGACCTTTTAAAACCACAAGTATTGGTAAAGGGAGGAAAGTTAGGGAGCAAGTGTGGTACTTACCTTATGCTAACTTTTTTTTTTAATTTACTAGATTTCAAGTTGATAGTACTGTTTTTAAAGTGGTTGGGTTAAGACAGTTAAGCTCCGACCTGCATTCCTATAGATACTAAAAGTGAAGCTTGTTACATTTCTCTAAATCTAAGGAATGCATTCCTTGGTTTTAAGGTACAGCCTTCTACACGTGCTACAGTGTACAGACAATTTTACAAACCATGTGGAATTTCACGTAACAATTTTGTATTTGATATTTCCTAATCCATCCAAAAATTATCTATCTGTGTCCTGTATTGTGTTTGTGCTGTAAATCATCTTTTAAGTTGTATTTTGGAGTTTGAGGATTTATACTATACTTAACATTTATGTAACATATCTAGAACTTGTACGAACATTAACTACTGTAATTATTCAACAAAGCATGTTTTGCTGAACTGTAATAAACATGGGGAAAAAACTGAGACTAGATGACTCAAAATTGAGTTGAATGAGATTAACTTTTGTCCAATAAGAATGTTTTAGGTACTGTTTGCTGGTACAGTACAGAGACCTGTTTTGAATACAAACTTTTCATCTTTTGATATGTGGGGTATAGTACTTTATTTCCAATTCCATTACATTTTAAAGTAAAGAAACAGTTTTGTTATGCCTATCATAATAGTATCCTATCTGTATTTTAATTAAAAGTAATATATTACCATATAACTTTTGTCTTTGTTTTATTTCTGCTATAGGCTTGTAGAGGTGAGTCTTTTGGGGTGAAAACTATACCAGCATGAGTAGCCTTTTCTTTCTAGCTAAGGCAAGGTTGATAGTCACTTAATATGAAAAATCTGATTAAGTGATTATGCTTAGATTTTTTGCAAATAAAGCTTTAAAAACAAGTGGGACTAACAAAATAGTTAGCCAGACAGCTTTAATTCAAGTTAAATTTGCATATGCCTTTTCTCTGATAAAGTAACAAACTGAAGAATATTCACTTGCCAGTGGAAAACTCTTATCTTGTTAAACCATCTAAAATTACTTCAGGAATTGTATAATGTCTTAGTTAAGGACAAACACTTTTTCTTCTTAAATCACTATGCTCGGATTTGCTACTCAATTTTTTTTTCTGTAGCCATTTTTCTCCATTCCAGAATGTGCTGGTGTTCAATATAAGGAAACATGTGCGATGGCAATTAAAATCAGATCAGTGGAGTGCTCCATTAGTTCTCAAAATGTCATGTAATATTTTGGGGGGCGGGGGAAAGGAGTAGGAGTTAACGTATGTAGTAATAGGTCAGCTCACTTAGTGTATATTCTGTGACACTGTGAATCCAATTAATGATTTGAATGTCCAATTCTTTAGACTCTACAAAAGAGGACATAATTCAGTAGTGTGTGATTCTTAAATTTTTTTTAAGAAACTTTCTTTACAATAAACTACTGTGATCAGGCACCTACAGCAGCCTGCTAATAGTGTTTAAATACAACTTCAAGTTTTACATAACATCAAGCATGTATTCATTTAAATTTAGATTTAAAAGAGCTATCCTTGGGCTAAATATCTTGCCACGAGATTTAAACTACTACTTTAGCATTGTGTATAAAAGGATACATATTTTATTTCCCCTTCATCTCATCTTTCTACCCCTCCCCTTCCCAAAAAGAAGAACCAGTATGGAAAATAACACAGCTTTAGTAGTAGAATGGGAATCTTCAGATGAGTAAAAATGCTGAAAGCATGAGGCCAAACCTTACTGAACTTCTTGTATCTAGGTCTAAAACACCCTTTTCGTAGATGTTTTAGCTATTATTTAAAACAAATTTGGCAGTCAAAGGTCTTAAGATGTTAATCCATTTACCTAGTATTACACTTCTTCTCTCTAATAAGACAAGACTTCAGATGTGATGTTGGCTCTGTTGAGAGGTAAGGATCTTACAGTAGAAAGCTCTTTATCTTACATAATACCAGGAGATAAATAACTTTTGAAGTAGTCCTCATGGTTGGCTTGGTTTGGACCCCAATTTCCAATCCTGCTTAGAAATGGGAATTTCACTGCTAAGCAAATTATCAAGTGCCTTAATTAACCTAAGGAAATTCCCAGGAAGAGGAGTGCAGATCTTCATTAAGATCATAAATAAATTGCTAGTTTTTAAAAGTCCAAAATTTGAAAACTACCAATTCTGTTCACCCATACCACACTAAATTATCATACAGCCAAAAAACCTAAAAAACATCCTGTTCTCAAATAAAACCATCATTTTATTGCATTAGTGATTGGAAACAGACAACTGACTTAAGTGGATATATAGTGTAGTTAATATTGCAACAATAATACAAAAAGCAGTAACAACAAAATACTGTCTAAGTTATTACAACAAACTTCTGTTTTTTTAAGTTGCCTACATAAATGGGAAGTGGGGGGAGGGAAAGGGAGAGAAAGGTTTGTGCCTCTTTTCTTTGCTTTGTTATCAGTAAAGGTCGGGAAGATATATTTTTAATAAGAATACTGATTTTAAGATTAGAAATTCACATCCTGACTAAGCTAGAACACAAGTTGACAACTGGATAACTAGTACAATAGTAACATTACGAGCTGAGAGAAGTTATGTTGTTGAGTGGACTTTTTTAGCACCTGTGTAACTTCAGTAACTAACACTTCAGAAAAGGGAGCCTTTTAAGATTCAAAACTCTCTCAAATGTCCTGGACTTAAAAGTCAACCAACCAAAACAGGGAAGATTGGATTTGACTTTCTTAGCCTGTCCAAACAAGAAAAATATTTTATCTTGACAAACTTTCAGATCATTTTCTCACACCATAAAGTGGCATTAGAACATCTTAAATGCATTGCAGGTCAGCTTTAAATACATACACAGCTGCTGGAGAAAAAACATGTTGTTGTGTTGTTTTTTTTTACAGCTCCTCCCCAAAAGAGATGCAGAGTTTAAATGTACCTAGTGGTGTGAGACTCTGCATCCGATGAAGTGAGCTGTAGTTCACGAAAGCTTATGCTCAAATTTGTTAGTCTCCGAGGTGCCACAAGTCCTCCTTTTCTTTTTGCGAATACAGACTAACACGGATGCAACTCTGAAACCTGTGTAAACATTGTTAATGTATCTTGTTTTTTAAAAAACCCAACAACCCCATACACAACAGAAATTCTTTAAGATCTGACCCCAAAACTAGCTTGCCTAGGGGGCTGGACCATATGTACCATGAACATGTATGAAGAAAAATCAAAGCCGTGTGCCTGAAGTTTTTTGTTCTCAAGCTACCCTAGATTGTATTTTAAAGTGAAACATTAGTCTTGTCTAAACTAGAATGTGTTAGTGATTACATGTACAAGTATAATTAAGTAGCCATTCCCCTGCAGTGTGGATGCAGTTACACTGGTATAGCTTATTCCAGTTTGGGAAGCAAAATAAGCTATAACAGTCCATGCTATGGCTTATACCTGTATAACTTTTTCACAGGTGCTGTTTTACCAGTTATACTCGTGTAACTTTCTAGTGTAGACCAGATCTAAAGGTATGTCTCGCTACAGCAACATAGTTACAGCGCT